ATATACAGCATGATCCATGTCTATTGCGAAATTCTATGAGAGCTATGCAACCGCTTCCTAAAACCGTAGGCAAGAACGTAATTTTCCTTAAACACGATGAACACAGCATTCAGTTTGTAAAACTTAAATTCAGTCCTAGCAGTCGGTAGGCTTCAAAATCATTCGGTAATTTAGAAACTTTTTTTAAACCGAAGGAAACCCTTTCTTTAAGAACAAAATGTAATGAAGGCGAAATTTGCTATCAAATAAGTATAAGAGAGGATTTTTCATGAATGCTTTCCATAAAATGTATTTGAATTTATAAAGGCGGTCAAAATCAATGATAAAAATGCATACTATTTAAGTAGCTATTTTTTTACAGAATCAACTTTTTCGTAGCGGTCAGAAAGAAGCTCATCACAGAGTCGGCATCCTAGCGTGACTAAAAAGAATTGAAATTAGACTGCATTATAAACAGTACTGCAACCCTACTCAGTGTTAGTTAGCGAGTGATTACCGGTCTTTTTCAAATTGCGGAATGTTTCTTGCAGCACTCGCCATACTGCATGTATTGCGTCATGATGATTTGGTCCTTTGACATGCACAGCAAACTGCATTCAAAATCCCTACACCAAATTTTACTAAAAATATGAGCAGGTGGCTATAATGAGCTAATCGCACTTTTTACCTTATTTCTCGGGCAATAATTTCAGTTAACTCGCTGGTTTGTTTTTTTTTATGCAGCGACAGCCGATAGAGTTGGAGTACTGCTGATAAATTGATCTTCAGAATACTTATTTGAAGGGATTTCGTGTGCGCAGAGTTCTTAACGGATAATGAAACAGTGCATAGAGCCTTGGATAAGACCTAAAAGCAACAGAGCGAAGGCGAGTAATTTGAAAAACGGTTATATTTACGTACTTCAAAGCACACATCTAAGTCTCTAAATTGCGATGCTATCAGCTACTTTTCGAATACTACATAAAAGAACAACCAAGTCTGTTGTGTGTGACTTGCCTGGGCTTTTAGCTAGTACCTGTGCTGGCAGTATGATAAATCATGCAGTGTGTCTGAAATGCTGGTTCGACTAGTTAAGTGAATTCGCATGAAACAGAAAAGTGCTTCAAGCATTCGACTTTCCACTTTATCGGAATTTTTCGTTTTTTTGAAAAATTATATTCGTATAGTCCCGTTAGCGATCTGTGAACGTTATTCAACGAGTGTAAATTACGCCTTATAGGTTTAAACTTGAAGAAAGGGTATGTTTCAGTTTCATAAATTTCATTTCTAATACTTCGATCCATCAATTTATTATTATTGTTTACAATGCACACCATATGATCAACTCCCATTGCAAAATTGTACGAGAAATATGTGACCGTTTCCTCGTATCGCAGCTTACTATGTTCTTTTCCTCAGACAGTTTTATGCAGCATGAAGTTTGGAAACCCTTAATTCAAGTGTAACGGTCACAAGGGTTCCACATTATTCGTTAACAGGGAACCTTTTCTTAAAACCGAAAGATATCCTTTCTTCGAGTAGGAAATTTGAAGAAGGCATAATTTTTTACCAAAAGAAACTCTGAAAGTAGGGCTGTAATATTTAATATCTGTCAGCATAATCGAAAGATATTTCAGTCCCATCAAGATGCCGACTTTTTAGTGCACCGCCTGCAAAAACTACAGTCTGTTAAAACTGACAACTTAAGTAATATGATTTTTTGCAATTCGATTTTTTATACGCCTTAAATCTAAACATTTTATAGACAGCAAGCACAAAAAATATCCCTTCTTGTGTTCATTTTGTAATAAATTAAGTCCCTCACACTGAAGAAAAGGATATCTTGCCGTCTTGAAAAAGTTTCTGATTATGGTATTTTTGAAAACCGTGAAATTTCCATTCATAAAGCGTCGCATTTGTCAATTTATTAATACTGCTTATAAAGTACACATCACGATCTACATCCAGTGCTGAATGAGTGCAATAAATAGTATTTTTGTGCCTGTTTTCTATAAAAAAAAACTTTTTATTTTATAAAGGCAGTAAAAATCACTGAAAAAATAGGCCAAATCAATAGCCATTTTTACAGAATGTAGCGTCTGCATGCGGTCAGAAAGAAGTCTCTTCAAAAACTGACACCCCCTAACGCGACTGAAATATTTCACGATTATGTTGCACTATAAGTAATATTATGATCCTATTTAAGGGGTCCTTTCAAATCGAAAACATTTCACTATTTTGGTTAATATTTCACAAGATAACACCTCTACCATACAAAATCCGAACTAGCTACTGAAAGATATTGGATGAGATCGCTCTCCGCCCACAACACTTATACAGACTACCTGGCTTATTTACTGGATCTGTTAAAACACTGGGAGTAGTTTGATCGAATCAATACATTTTTTCTCTCCGTCTGAACTTAGGCGTCTTTAAAAATCATACGCGTCGGTCTACATAACCAATAAATTCTACGTGTTTTGGATAATTTTGAACCGAAATGACAACGATTATGCCGACAGTGCGACAGATTACTAAATGATGCGAGCAGGCGCCGACTAAATAGAAAAGCTGTAAACGGACGGTGGAGACAAACCAGGACACTTACAGGATAAAAATTGAAATTTTTATATTTTGTAGTCTGTACAGTGGCCAACATGATAACATGTGTAAAAAGAGAGACAATCAAAGATCCGGTACATATGCAACCCCTTCTGTCAGCTGAAATCGCAATAAAAGAAAATATATGACATGAAATCGAAAGAAGGGCGTACCTTTCCAACAATGGTCTCGATAGCTGCCACATGGCGCCGAGCCTTCTCCTTGATGTCTGCAAGCAGCTTCTCCTTTAGGGCGAGTTCGCGACGCAGCTCACAAATTTCCTGGAATTAAGAACATGAACAGAAAAAAGCACAGGAGTCCTACGTCTGACAGTTGCAAGTGCGGAGCCTTGGTAGACAGGAGAAGACGATGTTTCACAAACCAGGAGTCCAGAGCCCGACAAGTGTCAATCAGTAGAACAATCACCTTGTCACCTAGAGAGAAAAATTGGCGACCGTTCAGTGCATGTTAAAGTCTAGCTAGCAAAGTCTTCTCTCGTATGAATTTGAAAATAGCCATGGATGACGAATCATTATCGATTTTTGGCACATTTAGAAATGCGCACTGCTCTTCACACAGTTGGGCTCTGGAGTCAGAGTCAAGCATCACTTCCAAGGGCTGCGAAGTCTTCTCCGTCTC